TATCTTGCTGTTCTAAAAGATTAAAGATGCTGACTGTTTGAGAGGTAAAATGACGCTTATGGCACCTGTCTAAAAAACGCTGTATAACATTTAAATCAGAATGAGAAGCGCCATACACAGCCATACGCTGTTGCCAACGATTACAATTTTGGCGCGCAATGACCGAACGGCCGCGGTCGTCGCTTTTTCTTGCCGACAAATAAAACTTTTGAAGGCATTTGTTTAGCTCTTGCGGGGAAGTTTCTTTAAAAGGAGTTGTGAATTCTTTTTGTATTTAAAATCATTCTTTAAAAAAACGAAACTGGAGGTAAATAAGTGAATAGTGCAGGATATTCACTGATTGAGTAGCCAATCAGAGCGAAAAACACTATCCACTGTTTTAGTATATACTAAATGCCGGTATCTCAAACATTTTTATACCTACAAGAAAATAAATAACATTCTTTATTAAGGATGCCAAACATCATATAGAAATAGGTTAAATCTTTTCTGCTGAAAAACGCGATTCAAAAACATAACCAACACGCATATAAATGGGTTTGGGTCGGCTTAAGCCTTTGTTTAAAAGTATAAATTAAAAGGGGATTTCTTAATTGCCTACGAGACATTTAACCCTTGCTAATACGTCGCTTTCTTCTTCATTTTGTAAAGTCTTTTTGGAGGGATTCGTAGAGCGGATTGAGCAATGTTTCCATGCCGCTTTTCTCTCACTGGGAGGTCATGTTTTACTCTACAGTGGCTACCTGTGGTTTCTTATCTTTGCTCTATCAGAAATTGACCAGTGATTGCTAGCTGAAGGTGTTAATATTTCCCGTTCTTATTTTCAAAACTGGTTTTATAACCTTTAGGGTTTGTTTTCATAGTTTCCTGCAAAGTGTTGGATTTGAATTATTATTATAACAGTGAGTAACAGGTTCCCTGGTATAGTTTTGACAGGTTTGATCTCAAAGCTCCTATTAAAGCTACAACTCTTGTACTGTAAAAAAAATTGCACTGCCACTCGGTCAAAAGTGTTGCTTGCATCAGTCAACTCCAAGCCCTTTCATGTAAATAAGAATAATTCAAGTCTTAGGACTGGAGCGCGTTGATGTTATTATTTCTCCTTTTGAGGTTATTGTGACAGTTGCTAGCTAAGGAACAACATTACTATTAACTTTTTGTTTTGTTTTTGTGGCGAGAGCAGTACAACTAGCTACAACTGTTCTGACTGTCTTAATGTTGACCTTACGCATTCATCAGGTATTATAAAGGATCCGAAATTCTTGCTGTCCAACTGGCTGCTTACAGTAGCCAATAATGGGCTCCTGCCAAGGGGTGGATCTCGGATCGTTTTCTTCTAGAAGGACATGGAGGTATGCATTGCTCCGCCTGTTTTGTATGGCCCTTTATCGCTGAGGATAGCTTAAAATATCAGCCGTTTTCTGTGGCCAAAAAATAGTATTCGCGGCACAAGAGAGGCTCTCTTCACTGGCTCTTATACACATTCATTATCTAACGTACATTGATCTGGAAAGAAGTCTTTGATTGATCTGTTTCTGAGAAATAACACCCAAGGGAGCTTGAGCTTGGTTCACTATTGAAAGATCATGATGCAAAGACCATGCATCTGACGCAAAGATCATGCATCAAACCTTGCGAATAATACGGAATTACATCTTTCTTTCTGCCTTTTTTCTTTCAGTGACATCCCACATTGTCATTCTAAAAAAATTGTAAAAAGTACTCCATTTGAAAAAATTACTTTGACGATTAAAAGTTTGAGAAATACCCAGTTCTTCAAAACGCTCGAAATTCAGTCTCAGTAGTAAACTTTATTCCAGCCCTCACCCCAAAGACGTGCGCCTCCGGCATCGTTTGGTCCGTCTCCTAGTTGGATCGCACACTCCCCCACCCTCCTACCCCATGAATAAAACTGGCTACGGGCCTTTAAAATAACGCTACCACCCTATATTTAAATTAACCTTGTTTAATTTATACACGATGAAATTTAAAACTTGGTAGCTTGAGGGGTCGTGAATAGGGTATATAATTACACAAATTCTTCGACTGAAGTAAGTTAAAAAAAAAAAGCTAGATTAAAACACTAAAGAAAAGGAATAATCTGAATAAATAAATAAATAAAAATAAAAAAATTTTAAAAAACTTTTAAATTAACTCTTTCACAATTAACAATTTCACAGATGTTTTAACAGTGAAACGAGTAAAATCTATATATATCTTTAATTGTATTCTGCTCGTGAATGCTTTTAAATAAATAAAACTACCTAGGGATATTGCTTTGCGGCAGTCTTCTGGTAAATTGTTCCACAGAATTGCGCGGGTTCTGTAGGCTAATGAAGATTTCACGAAAAGGACTGACTTCGAGGTTTTACTACTTCTTTCTCTTTTACACTCCTTTAACAATCTTTCAACATTAATTTGTTTCGACCCCAACTCTACTTGGTAGAAGGAAACTGTTTAGACCTATTATAAGGGTTTCTAAAATGCCTTGAGGAATACTCATCAGCTGTAGTCAGAAAAGTAAATAGATAGTGTTCTGTAGACATTATAGGGTTAAAGGCCAAGAGTTGTAAAGAAGACCCGTATTTACTCACCTGTTGCAAAACTTCTCAAAACAGTTCTGATTTAAGGTAAAAGGACTGAGTGGAGTCCAATTTGTATAGGTAATAGCATGATTTGTAGTGATAATTGGCATAAATACCACGAGTGATATTTCAAAACTGGTATACTTAATTTCACGAGCCGTTAAGCGAGTGAAATTGGAGACAATGTTGAAATATCACGAGTGGTATTTATGCCAAATATCAGGTACAAATCGCCGACAGAACAACTTTATAAGCAAATGACATCTAATCCAGCCTTTACAAAGAGAAATATACAAAACGCGAACGCTTATCTCCTAAATGGCTGAGCTAAACTCGTTGGTCACGTATCACATTCTACCGAGCTTGTACGTATGTGTTTGGCTTGTCAACACTTTGACTCCAACAGCGCCGATTGGTTCTCCGATAATCTGCACGTGAGCTCCAGCTGATATTTGCGAACAATGGGAAAGGAACGTAATCACTCGATTCAGCAGACGTTCGCGGGGCATAAGAGCGTCTGCGTGGGAGGCTTTACAGCGGGAGTCCGATATGTTTATCGCGGGCAAAGTCACAGGCAAAATCACTTGGTCCAGAGGAGTTTCGCGTGAATAAAATGAATTACTTATTTAACATCTCACCTTGAAAAATGTATATCCTTGTAGCTTTAAACACGGTTAATTCGCCTAATGGGATCTTTATGAATCTACTGTAAACGATTTCTTTGCCCCTAATCTGCACCCGATCGACTTTGTTGTTCGCCATTCTCGAGGACGCAAAGTACGTCGCCCGAAAGGCGACCGAGGCACGAAGTGCCGAGTAAAAAGTAAATAAGGTTGTACCACGTGACTTGGTTCGATGTAAACCACTTCACTCGATGACGGAAATGAATGAGACCGGAAACAGAAAAGCAGCAGACCGGTAGTAACATCGACCGTGGAGGGAGTTTTAAAATAATAATAATAATAATAATAATAATTGTAATAATAATAATAATCAATAACAATAATAATAATAATAATATAATATAGTAATATAAATAATATAATATTGTACACTGCAAGCCGATCCGTGCGAGCTCTCAGACCGTTGGTTTGCGGTATACAGACTAACGCGATCAAAAATAGACCATTTTTTCAGAGGTTTTTGACGGGTTTTGAGGTCCTAACAATAAACATATTAACTCCTCTGAACCCTGTGACAAAATTGAAAGACACGAACTTCTCTTTCTTATTATTAATAATTGAGATAATTTAATTCTTTCAATTACAAACTTTGCTTCATTAATACAAGATCTCTCACGAGTTTTTTTGGACGCTAGGAAATAGAGGAAAAGAACCCATTAAAGAGCAACTTTGCTATTCATACAACAGCGTTACGGAAAGTACTGTCCAATTAGTTAAGGGAATTTGAAGCACACCGCCCCACTAAAATGTCCTCATCAACTGATGCCTAAATCAGGGTTACCGATTGGAGAATTTTGTTATAGTAACGACTGTGTAAGAACTTCTCAGCAAACAAACTTTCCCATAGTCTTCCAGGCCTTTATTATCATCAGTTTTTTTTGTCCAAGGGAGTAATTACGTCTTATGATTTCAGCTCGTGCGTATTGTATCTGAGTATAGCATGTGATTTCTAGACCAAAGTTTAGTTTCTTTCATCGAAGGTGAATGTCGCTGGGACTTGAATTCACGAAGCCTTTCCGAGAGAAATGAACGTGTCTTTGCCCAGTCTTGCTTTAGTCCTTTATAAAGAATAGGAACGATTATCGCGCCGCGCGAGTCACCTGGATCAAACCGTTCCTTTCAAATTTTCTAAAAATTGGTCCGAAGATTTTGGTACTGGAAACGGAAATGGTTGAATGAAACGGCAAACTATCGATCAGACCATTCCAAATGTGGACCTTTTTCCAAAGTAAGTTAGGGAAGGGTCGTAGACATACAAATCATAGACTACCGTTCTATTGGTTTCCTGTCAAAGCAAAGCAATTTCTTCTTTTTCTTTCTCTTTTTACAATGTAACCTATTTTAAAATTGGTTGTCATAGCCCGTATGGTTCTTCTGTTCCCCTCTAATCCTCCTCCGCTCAGTGCTATTTTGTGTGTGTTATATGCAGTGAAAATGAATTAAATTGAAAATTAAATTAATTAAAAGCACTCAGCTAGGCCAAAATGTTAAATTTTTGTATTATCCTCTCTTCTAATGGACCACCTCGGCCAACCCTGGAAATTTTCGTAAAATGCAAAAACTCCCGACTCACTCGCATTCAGTGTCTCTACCGTATATATTGTACAGTATAATATTTCCCACGACAGCCCCTAATGCGCATGTCGAACACAATTCAAATCAGCAATTACTCCAAATTAGACAGACCTATGGTTAGTTTTGAGAGCTGGTGCAACTCGGCTAATTTTGAGCCCATGCCTGTGGAACCTTGATAAACACATAACAGCATTAACAAGCTTTATTGGCATGACTGACTCTACAGTAAAGTAGTACGGCAAAAGATGGGAAACACAAGCCACAGAATCAAATGACAATGATTATTTTTTTGTAAAAACAAGAAATATTCCTAAATAAGATAAATTATGAAAATGACTGATACAGAGATAATAGAGTGTAAAACAGTCGGTTTTGGGCGAACCGCTGCGTAAGATTCCCTTTTCCTCCTGCAACAGACTTTACGTTTGACTGCTCGCGAGTTTTGACCTAAGCAAAAACACGAGCTGTTTCGCAGTCTAAAGGGATTTATCAAAAACTGTATCATTGGGTAATGCAATTCTAGAGCTCTGATTAGCTTAGCCATCATGGCATATAAGCCATTATAGCATGCTGTCCAAATGTGGTAACTGTATGCGTCCGCTCAAAATTAAAAACAAGCTGAAAATCGGTTGTATTTACAAATAAAGTCGGAAAGAATTCCCAGTATTTTGTAGGCGTTTTTAATAAAACAATTAGTCCACTCGCGCTTGTTGGATATGAGATGATTACAGCCAACTCGGCGCTTTGCGCCTCGTTGGCTCGCTACCATCTTATATCCAACGCGCACTTGTAAAATAATTGTGAAACAGACGATTGCAACTCTCGAACAGGCTGTTTAAGAAATTGGATTGAACTGAAAATATTAAAGCGCTCCAAATTCAAAAAAGCTGATGTTTGGAAGGTTGAGTAGCTTCGAGCCTATCTTAGCATCAAGTTAGCCTCGCTCAAGCTTTTTACTCTTCCACTTAATATTGAGAACAACGCTAGACATTATGTACACTGGTAATAAGCAAACAAAAAAAAAGGTGTAATGATAACAATCATGCATGACACATAATCGCGAAGCGTGCTGAGAAATGGAGCAAAGTAAACTTCTTATTGACAACTATCAAAATATACCACTGACAGTTAATGAGATTAGTTTATAAATTACATACGGATAGCTCTATTTGGCAGTTTAATAGAAAAAAATCTACAATCTGCAAGGATCTAGCCACAGTTTGTGGCTCACATTGAACTAGAAGACGTTTTACTTCCTCAATGAGACCTTCTGACCTAAATGGTTGCATTTTATTTAATATGAAAGCGGGCATTTGATGATGAAGAGCTTCTTGGGGCACAAAGTAGTCAATGAATGTCCACACTCTTCGTTTTGCTGACTGGCGATGTACCTGACTAGACATCTGCTCTTTCAGACTCTTCTTTCTCTGACCCTAAATCGTCATCGACGGAGCTCGAGCTATTGTCGCCGATTCAGGGTCTAAAAATTGGTTCGTGTGCCTTGGCTGAAAAACAAAATTTGTAATTGATAAGAACATTTTGGGGAAATTGAGACATTGCTAATAATGTCTGTGTTATGCAGCTCTATTAAAGTGAGTGGTTTTTTATGTTAACTTTTTAAATTTATTTGAGGTATTAGTTATTGCACCTACTCTAATCCAACTTCATCCAAAATTCTTAGTCGTTACTTGTTGCATCCGTTTGAACGTTTTGGTCAACGAAAATTTATGTTGCTGGATCAGTGTGGTTGTCAGGTTTAAATGAGTTCTGGCCCCAGTTGTTCAAATGATGGATAGTGCAATGCACCAGATAAATCACTATCCAGCGGATAAGTATCAGGAAAATCAATACCACGATCCACAGAATGGTGATTCATCCATTGGATAACACTACGCACATTTTGAACAAATAGGGCCTTATCTAGTCTATTGTTAACACCATGTAACAATTAAGTTGGTTCGGTGATAACTGAACGACAAATTGCTATTTATGAACTGAGTAAATGGTATATTGACAAAATGACTAAAAGATAGCAGTGAATGATAAGGGACTTAACTGCTTATAAGAGAGAATGAGGAGAGAGAGCGAATCCCCCTCTTGTTGTTAAGTAATATATATTTTTTACCTGGTCCGGTGAAATATTTTTGGCATGGGAGGTTGGGATTTTCAGTTGTTGAAGACGCCCCATTATCAGGTCCATCTTTTCTTCAACTGAAACAGAAATTAAAATCATCAATTACTGTCTATCGGAATGCTATATTAATGAGTTTTCAAGCAAGCTAATATTATGCGCTTTATGACCAATTACGTTTGCTCGCGTTTGTCTGCCTCGCGTAGTTTTGAACAGAGCTATCCATTCCATCGATGCCAGGTTACTTATGGCATCACGAAACTCGCCCTTGACTCCTTCGAAATTTTGAGGATCAAAACTTGTTTGCAGAACACACAAGTTGAACTTTAGCTTTCAAAGGTGATTTCCTGGTTTTGCTTTGCACATCTCACGGAGCAAAACAAGATGGCCGCCAGTAAAAGGAGCCTCTGCAGAAACAATTGCTGGTTTGCACGTGACTTCATGGCTGCCATATTGGTGGTCAAGAGCAAAAACATTTCTCTCCTCTGGGAACTAAACTATATTTTCATGTAAATTCTTTGAAACAACTTTTACAGTCGACTCCCGATAACTCGAACCTTCAAAAAATCGAAAAAAGTTCGAGTTATCGGGAACTCGAAGGGAATAGTCGGGAGTAAGGTAAAGAACAGTTTTTACTGCACAGTGAAAGAAACGTCAAGTGAAAATTAAAAGGTACTTCTAGATTGTAAATCAGAACGTAACGTAACAAAACATAGCCTAAAGAGAGCATGCGTTTTACTGTTTTGAGAAGTAAGGCTGTTTCACGTTAGATTTGTGACAAACAACATCAGCCTCCACTAATAAGCTATACTCCTACAACACGTCATTGGGAAATTCAAAATTCAATGTCTCGGACGCCGGTAGACTGTTTTTTTCCCAAACTTTTTAAGGGCTCAAAACATGCTTCGAGTTCTCGAGGGTAAAATTATATAGAAATGATCTGATGGAAAACAAAAACTACTTCGAGTTAGCTGGAGGTTCGAGTCACCGAGGGTAAAATTACAGTAAATGTATGGCGAAAATCGAGGGGAAATCGATTTTGGTTCGAGTTAGCGAGAGTTCGAGTAATCGGGAGTCAACTGTATTGTATTGACCACCAACATGGCCACCATGTCACGTGGTTGCAAACCAAGAATACTTGAAAGAAGTCGATCGAAGACAAACATTGATGACATTTTCGATAGCTATTTTTTCTGGCCTAAATAAGTCTCATTGTGTTGGGAATTGCGTAATGTAAGCGGTACGCGTGTTGCTGAGTTCGACTTCCTCATCGAGGCCTTCAATAGTGAATGTTACACTTGTGCTTAATTTTTGCCCCCAAATTTGTGTTACATGAATTTAAAAAAGGTATAGAGACTTGTGTCCACCACAAGAGAAAATGAAATGTTCCTGTCCCTGCAAAATGGCCTGTTAGATCAATTTCCAACCTTTAAAGGTGATGTTACTGGGGACGATTCGCAACAACCATTTTTAGCGCAACACAGCGTTGCAACGTTGGAACAATGTTGCAAGCATTCAAAACAATGTCCCAACAATGTTGCAACGCTCTGTTGTGCCAAAAATCGTCGTTGCGAATCGTCTCTTGTAAAATTACTTTAAAACTCCCCGTGGTGAAAGATACAACTGAAGGAAACACAAAAATTATCATAGAACGCAGCAAATCTAACAGTTGGCAGTGTTCTGTGTCAGGTTCAGTTTTCATTTTAAACTATGTCCTTAGTTTTAACATGACTATCCCATACCAGAAAGGCAAAACATCTGGAAGCTCACCATTCTCGTACTCTTATTAGTATTTTGTGTTTCATTAAGACGCTATTTCAGCGGAACCCCGATTTAACAAATTTCTAGGGGACTGCGAAAATCGTTCCTGCAATAATCGATTTACCCGTTATAATGTTATTTCATTATCTAAGGCCAAGAATGTCGTTCGTTTTCAGGCGTTTTGAGGCGGTTCGTAATAATACGGGTTTTACTAATTTTTTTTTTCACTGAATTTCTAGAACCTTTGACCATAAACGATTTGCTTTGGGAATAATCTTCAGAGGATACAAACGTCATTTGGAATTTGAAAGTTTTTATTTTTTTTCAAACCAAGAATGAAGCCAATTGGGATGACACATGTCAGCCGGATAGAAGGTACAACCAGTTACCAAAAAACGTATGACACTGTACCTTATAACCATAAAGGCGTGTCAATGATCTTTTGCTTGTGATTCCCCCTCCAACCCTCCCTTGTCAATTGAATAGAGGGGAAAGAGGCGGTGAGGGTCATATCTCAAAGATATGAGCTGCGTCACGAAATTCAGAGAAACATAAAAATAACCGCTTAAAACATTAAAGGAAGGTTAAAATAACACAACAGAAACAACAGATTCAACGGATGGGCAAAACTTAAGAAGACTGAAACGGATTGAAATTAGAGTTTTTAAAAACTGTTCAGCCTAACAGTTTTTCAAAGTTGATCCCTGCTGCTTGCAACTTAAAAAATAATGCTCAGGAGACATATTTATTTGTTTCGGTTTTGTCATTTACATGTAATTTCTTTGCTTACTTTAAGTTCCATAGTGATTGAGGGCGAGTAATTAGCAAAATTAAACAAAATGAAGACTGCCGTGACACAGCCCCTTAAAAAAGGCCGGTTTTACTCGTTGGAGTGTCTCAAACATTTTTTCAGCTTGTTGTAGGTTGGCAACAGAGCTTCGAAAAGCAAATAAAGCATTGCAGTTATCAAAATGACGAAACCAAGGTAGACAAAATTCAAGTTCTTACCAGACAGAGGAAACGATCCACCATATTTCTTTTTATAGCGTTTTGTGAGTACCGGGAACAAGCACTCCTCATAGTATTTCTGGTACATCTTTCGGCGTTGATCTGCCTCCTATAATCGAACGAATGGAAGAGCAATTTTAAAACGGAGAAAACTGAAACTGGATAGCCGAAAAGCTTGCCTTCAGACCTCTTAGTGATATCACGGATGCAGTACTTCAGATCCAGGAGGTGGTGGGGGGAACTGAACGGAAGAATAGAATGAGCAGTTAAATTGCTTATTTATTTATCCGTTCATTTTTGTCTTTTGTCTATTTATTCACTTATTAATTTATTAATCTTTTTTCATTTTTAATTCAAGTGAGCTGTACAGTTATATTTATGATTTCCTCTTCGTGACACCCTGATGAGTTAGAAAATTGCTGTTTCCAAATTCAGACCTCTACAGCGTCTCAAAATTTACAAAAAGGTATTTTATATAAGTTGGTGGGAAAAACGCTAAAAATGAACAAAATAGTGTAAATTGCTAATTTAAATTAACGTCATGACAGCCAACAAACCAGAAAAGATCCAAGAAATCACCTTTTTTCTGGTATCCTCCTCTCCCTTTAAACACAAAAGTCTTGCGGGCACGGTGAGGAGATTGAATGGCATAGCGACAGCGTGCGTACCTCTGTACTGGGTTTCACACACAGCACGGGCAAATTTCCACTCGACTTCTGCATTATTCTAAAAGAAAAACAACTAATAAAATACTTACAGAGGAAATTCCATGTGCGTCACCACCTCTTGTTAGCGACCACATGCCATAAGCGACCACCAATCCTTAATACTAAAAGCTTTCAGTGAAAGCCTTACAATTGAAAGCTCTTGTAAAAGACCACCTTTCGTAAGCAACAGCGACCACTTCTCATTGGCGGATCCAGGGGAAGAACCGAGGACCCCCCTCCTTCCGTTATTTTTGGACCAAACTGAGGCCTGAAGGGCCGAAAAAAAATTTTTTGAGACCGGGCCCCCCCATTATCTCAACGTCTGGATGACCGGGTCTCTCCCTTATCTGGAGATCTGGATCCGACAATGCTTTATCTTGGAAGAACCAGGGACCCCCTCCTTTATGTTCCCGTATATTTTTTAGACCAAAATAACTTTTAGAAACAACATGGATTTAAATAAATTATAGCCTAAAATTTGCAGGCAATGCATTCTCTCCTAAAAGTAAATGTGTCCGGACTTTTCCTCGCAAAAGACCTCCTGCGGATCGACTCTCGTAAGCGACTACCTCACGTAAGCGACATCTAACATTTTACATTTTGGGTAGTCGTTTGCTGGAGGTTCGACTTATTACTTACTATCTAAGCAATTTAGAGGTTGTGTTTAAGGGGTTCTTTTCATGGAGGGGAAGATCCTAGAAGGCGGATCATCCTAACGCCATATGTTTTCTGTATTCAGTTCACAGGCAAACGGTCGTACTTGTGCCTAGCTAGGATCTTCCTACATGTTCCTAGTACTAGGATTTTCGTAGCTGAGAGATCCTTGCATTTGGAAGATCCTAGCACCATGAAAACCATGAGAGCATAATTTTGTATATTATTGTACAGTGCTAAGCATGAAAAAAAGAATTGTGTAGATCGAGTAGCGTGTATGATATAATCAGGGGTATTCGCTGTCTGATAATTTACATCTTATGCTTGTTCTTTTAAGATTGTAGTTCTTAGTCAGTGGTTATTCGTAATTCTATTTTCTTGCTAAAATTTCTTTCAAGAGCTGCCAAAGAACGCTTCTTTATGATGCCTTCACCTAAACTTCAACTTCCACTCCGAAGGTGGTGGGGGGGGGGGGGGGGTACTCTGGTGTACTCTATACACCATTTTTGACAGAAACGATACCCCTTTCATGTACCCTCTATTGCCAAATTAATGGTACCCCTTCCTCACAAACCAACTTAACACTTTTCCATCCTTTCTAGCTACTGTAACTGCACTGTATCCTAAATATGAATAAATCACAATCCAGAACGTTTTGTCGACTTTTTCATAGCCATAAAATGAATCTGTTAGCCCTTTTGGGCCTTTTGACGGATTTTTACAGACCGAATGACAGATTTCCCTACCCTTTCATATACTTCACTTAGTGAAACCCGTACCCATTCATATACCTGAAGCCTGAAAAAGGTACCCATTTGGGGCGGAGCCTCCCAGCAGATAACGTTATGGGGGAGTAATCCCCCTCTCCCTGGCTACCACTGAACTCACCGTTATATTGTCGTACGTTTTCGTCAGCAAGGCCACCAGCATATTGACCAGCATGATGACGGACACAATGAGAAAAATACAAAACAGGACATTTACAAATTTAGTTGTTACTTGAGTCTTCGCTTTCCATTTGTTTAACTCTGTTTTGTCAAGCACAGACCAGATGAGCAGTTCAGATGTATTCACAAAGCTGAAAAAAGGTCGCACAAGGACGGTTAGTAATGATAATTCCACAACCTTAATTTGTAAACTACTCTAGAATTATAAAGATAAACTCACTAATGGACAAGATGGATATTTAACAACGAAAGAAAACACATTCATTTTATAAACTGCTATGCAGTCTGAAATGTCATCTGTCTCGTCGAGCCACCCCTCAACGGACGGCAAGGCGTGGGCTCTTGCCTTGCCGCCAGTTGGAGGGTGGGGCCAAGAGACGGATGACATTTCAGACTATAATCTACGTTTCTTGAGCGAAATTTCCTACGACCAAGGATAAACTACACAACATCAGCCTGACGCTCCCGGGGATTTAGTTAGGCCTTACCTTTTCAGTTTCAGGGACTCGTTAGTTTTAAAAAGATGCACATGACCTTATTTTCATGAGATTCCACTATTTCTATTCAAGAGATAAGGGCAAACGGCTATGATGTCATCGGCGTTAACGTATTCCCCCACAAGTTAACTGGATTTAATTGGATAATTCAGTGCGCCCTATACTACTTACAAGAGTATGACGATGAAAAACTCACGTTTTCTATCCGGTAAAGGCACCCGTAAGATTAAGAGTTTTCGTATAAACAATCTAATTATCAGTTACCTATTCCCTGTTCATATTTAACAAAAAGTCTTTGTTTAATTTACTGCCAAAATAAACGTTGCATAGACTTAAAGACTCACCCCATGGGTGTTCCCGGTTTTCCATTATGGTTGTTATGCGGGGAAATATATGACTTCTCTGCATTGTAGCTCTTCATGATAGCCAAAGTAAATCCCAGGATGACGAAAAAAAACTGAGTGAGAATAATCAGCAGATCTCCCAGCATACGGTATAAGGCCAATTGCAGTGGGCCTGCAACTGGATGGAGCTCGAGAATACTGGAGATACGAAGGACCATCAATAAGGTGTTAATTCCGTAAAGGTAATTGCTAATCTCCAACAAACGGTTGTGGTAAGGAACTCCACCACGGGCGATGGTCGTGATTCGAAGGATTACTACTAAGATGTAAATGATTCCAATGATGACGTCTAAATAGTTCCACATGTCCCTGTTAAGAGGATTCGAGGACAAGATTAAAGTTTTTTTGCGTATTCCCAAAAAATATACACCCTAGAAAGCTTCATTGCACATTTTTCACCTGAAAAATTAGCACAGTTATTTCTAATGGAGGAAGTTAAACTCTCTCCCGATCGCGAAATATTAAAACTTCTAAACTTTGATAACTTGTTTCCGCCAATACGACATTCTCGCTAATAAAACTCGTAGTAGCATGGCGACGCCTATCGCATTTTCCCGCCAAAATGGCTGTGATTCACTACTTAGTATAGGGAAAATTTCGTTTTCTTACTCGTTCTCGTCTTAAAATCTAAAGGCCTCTAATGCAATGAAAACCATACCAAGGGCATAAGTACACACATCAAAACAAAGTGCATTGTATAAAAATTGGGAAGAAAGACTAACAGAGTATTTAAGACGGGGGCCAGAAAAAGGACCTCGGCGCTTCCGAGCAGGCGTTACTAACAGGAAGTAGATTACGTCTGCGACGAAGGCTATTCCCAGTGGCCGATCTAGGGGAGGGACCCGCCCCCCTTAGACAAGACAAGACAAGACAATGTTTTATTTGGAGTCTTATACAATCCTATGTATATCGACTTTATCCAAATAATTTAAAATTATAACACAAATTGCACACTAGTGGAACTATAATCAATGTTAACCTAAACAACTAATGATCTTCTTTTCTCGTAGCAGTCGAATACGTATTTTGCAATTAACTTTTGCACTGGTTTGTTCTTGCTCGGAGGGTTTATTGACAACAGAAAAATATCATCTGGTGCCATTCTGTTTACTGATATTCTGTATTCTTAGTTTAAGTATTTAAATAAAGTACTTCTTTTTTCTTGATACGCAGGGCACAGAGTTAAAAAGTGTATTTCATCTTCTACCTCTTTGTTACAGCTATAGGACAGATCCTCTCTTCCGGTTTCTTATAAGGTCTTACATACCGACCTGTCTCTATCGCCAATTTGTGATTACTTAGACGGAGTTTAGTTAGAGTTATCCGGTGTTGGACGTTGGTGACCTGACGGAGATAATCTTCACATTTATAATTTTCTATTGTTTTCAATTTTTTCCCTTATCTCAGGGTCTGGATAACCGCCCCCCGCCCCCCTTCCCCCTTATCTAAAAAGCTGGATCCGGCACTGTTTCCAATCCATCAGTAACTGCAGCATTAAATTTTTAATATACAGTAGAACCCCGGTATCTCGAACTCTGAAGGTAAACAAAAACGTTATTGAGGTTAAATTTTAAGTGAAATTGAGATCAAGAGAAAGAGAATTGGATCAATTTTGGTTTCTGTGAAACTGCCCACTTCCCCTAACCCATCATTTTGTCCAAAGGGAGAATTACAGTGTTAATGTTAGCTTAGGGAAGGGGTAGGTGGGCAGTTTCCCAGAAACCTGAATTTATCCAGGAAATTTAGTTCGAGTTAGCGGGGAATTAGAGTTGTCTGAGTTCGAGTTATCGAGTTTCTACTGTATGTCTTACAATTTTCTCAGCCAAAGCGTTGTATAGAGAAAAGATGGCCCCGCTAGGAGGGTAATCCCACTATCGAGAAAGGCCGAACCAAGTGTTTGTTTCTTGCCTAAACGGTTCGCGAAGTTTTGTAAGGAAATGTAGAAAAAGTTGGGCCACCCTGGGTAGCTTGGGTAGGCGAGTGAATCTTCTACCCTGGACATTTAAACTTGGCCTTACTTGAAGTACTTCACAGGTGCTTTTTTGTACTGCTGGTATTCATTGAGTGCCATACTACAGAAGTAGACAAAAATCAAGTACTCCGCCACAGTTGGTTGAACGGAAGACAGCGAGTTGCACACAATGCAGTGAAGTACAATAAAAACCCAATGGTTGAATTTTTCCTTTAAAAACAAGACGGACGGGGATATGCAGTAACAGTAATATTGGTCTGCAAAAAAAAAAAAATTTCAAGAGACAGTTTACAAGCAGTCGACTGAGCAACATAATTCATCGCAAATTTCGTTCAGCTACAACATGATTGCAAATTTTATTCTTAATTCTTAAACGCAAAAAAGGCGCACAAGAGCCAAAGGCCCAAACGGCCGGAGCCTATCCCGGTTTCCCAAGTATGAAGCATGCGTAGGAGTATTGCTACTCCCCCCTGGACGGGATGCTAGTCCGTCGCAGGGTTACTCCCCAGCACTATGTACAATACAATACAATACAATACAATAACTTTATTTAAAGAGGGAAGCGCAATAACCTATCACAGTTTCTAAGCTACGGCCCTCAAAAAATAAATAAATAGATAAATAAATTTAGAAGACAAAAGGCAAATAAATTTATATATATATATATATATCTGTCTGGATTTCATACAAGGTGCCTGTACTGAGTCTCTAGACGGTCAACTCCAAGGAGCCATTACTCACCCTCCCCAGCCATGAAGCTTATGACTAGTCAATCACTTCCCCCAAGCTCTGCTAGAAGAGTTGTGATTATGAGTCACCGCATTGATTTGGCTCGCCTAGGCCACAGGAAAAATTCTCTGACTTTGCACTGCTTTCGGACATAACACTCTAACCAAAGTGACAAAATCTCCCCTCCCTACCCCCCTGGTTTTCACACAAAACAAGGAAGCCACCGACCCACGGATAGGTCTGGGCCTGGGCTCTCAGTTGACACCTAGCAAGACGGCAAGCCCCCTGGTTTTATTCCGGCTACACTGGCTTAGCGGGCACCTTTTAGCAAAATCGCACAGATATATATATACACAAAAGAGACAATATTTAAAGTTTAATAGGCTATAAACACGTAATGAATAATATATAAATCGACGAAGGGAGGCAAAATATGTACTATAAATGAACATGTATATATATGTAAATAAAAATTAAAAGACGTAATAGTGGTTGTAGTAGGACTATGAAAAACAGTAACAATGAATAGAATAGCGGCAAGTCCAGCACAGTAGATCCTCCAAGTGTTCGGCCGATGATAGGCGTGAGAGAAACAGACCTCGTAATTTAGACTTAAGAGAGGAAGGAAGAAATTTAAATATCAATGGAAAGAAGAAGAAATAGAAAACTCTTTTAAGTCGGAACTGAGGTCATTAAAAAGTTTAGTAGCACTATAGGCCATTGTGCGTTTCCCAGAGTTGCTAGGTGGGCATGGCACATTTAAGTCGTAGAGAGGCTCTAGTAAAACGGCCCAGAGGTCCACGCGAAGCACAAAGAAATTGAAATCTGTTCCTGAGACATTTAGGAGCATTCGGATTAAGGAGTACGATAAAAAGAAGAAAAAGTTTCCTGTATTTAATAAGATAAAAAACGGGGATCCAGTTAAGTTTTAAAAATAAAGAAATAGAAGCCTGAGAGAGGTCGGCATCAAGGAGTATACACCCAGCACGCTTCTGAAGACGAAGCAGTCGTAAGAGGAGATGGTGGGAACAATTACCCCAGGCAGCGGAACAATAAATAAAGTAGTTGTTAACACAAGAATTATAGAATCTTAAAGTAGAATCAGATGTCGCCGGTACCCATTTATACACTTGGGTGAAGAAAGACAAAGTGGAGTAAAGTTTCTTGCCTAAGGAAACAACGCGACGGGGCGAGGCTTGAGCCCTTGACCTCCGGATCCTGAGAGTTCGAGGTGTTAGTCACCCGGCCACAAACGCCTCCACAGGCATACGATAGGGATAATTGTTATGCAGAACAATTTTTTGCTCATATTTGACTGATAGGATCTCTGATCAGCCACTGAGTTCAAATGGCTGACTAACTGCAGGCTGCCAGCGTCTCTTGCTCAGTTGTTTGGATACGTTTATGTCGCCTTAAGCATGCCTGGCAAATATTTTACGTAAATATCAGGAAAAAATTAATACCCACGAAATTCCCCAGTGATTTTGTAATACGTCTGCTTAAGGGCACAACAGAAGTCGTCTCGACACATACAAAATCCTCCACGACTCCAGAATTTCCCGTTGGAACTCCTGAATTCCTACAACATTGTCTTTGCCTCAGTATTCTGGCCTTTTTTAATCTTCTTAGACACTAAAACGGAACATATAATAGCATCAAAATAACTAATGATACATCTACGGTGTATTTGAAGTGTCAAAACAAACATATTTGGTCTTAGATGATTATAACGTTATGCAGCCCAACCCCTCCCCCCACCCCCCCCCCCCCTAACCCCCAGTAACGTTACGCCAATAAGGAACTTATTTACACTTATCTTACTCGAAATTCAATAGTTTTCAGTTCTAATATCACGTTAAGTGTCTCAACACTATTGTAGCTATATAGGAACTATGCCGTCGTTTGCGTCGTGTAAACCTCCCTCCCTCCCCCCACACCTATTACCCATTTCCATGAATGGGTCCCTGGCTTGTGTTGTCTGCCAATGTTAAAGTAGCTATGTTACGCGAGGTTAGTGCTGTTGTAGGTTAATTCTTTATTGAAGTCATAACTTAGTGCCTTTAATACCATACATAGAAATGCTCCCGTAGAGTTGGGAAGAAGATATCAAACAAATTTCATCCCGGAGCACAAACCAGAATATTTTGGGGGTGATTTTGGCAGGCATAGCACTAAAAATTGAAAAAGTTGGCCCAATTTTTCCAAAATCCATGTCCATCCTTGCCATCTGTAGCAATAGACGACAGGAAACACTTTCAGTGCGTAAATATAATCTAAACCGGTCCGTTATTTTTAGTATTCAACTGAAGGGAAGACACGTTTTAGCTTTTGAAAAAGATAGAAAATAACAAGTTTCACCAGGAAGCACTGAACATGATATTTTTTTGGAGATGTTCGCAGGCATAGCACTAAAAATTGAAAACGTTTGCCCAACTTTTTCAAGTCATCTCAATCCATGTCCATCCTCGCCATCCGTGTCGAAAGACGGCAGGAAACAGTTTCAATGCCAAAATATAGTCTTAAATAACAAAATTTGGAATTCGATTGATGCGAAGATACAAAATACAGTGATATGCGCTTTCTTCTCATTTATCCCGAAATCCTTCTGTACGATGTCTGAAATGATTCTCAATTGTGTAACAACGGCGTTGTAGCTTCTTTGTGACTTAAATGACGGATTTGACAGTTGTTTTCTAATTGCTTTAAAACACCTTACAGGAACTAGGGGTGGATGTAGCTAGAAAAGGTGTTTTTCTTGATTCCTGAATGTTGAATATTCGAGAAATCGAATGTAAATTAGAAGCAGAATTAGTACAAATATCGGGAGTTTAGAAAAATCGGGATTCCGTCGTACAAGGAGAAAATAACGTTTTACCTTCTTCTGGTCTCTGTAAAACGCCAACCCTACAAACGGAACAAGCAATGGCGTCAAAGCCGCGTCAATGATAACCACAAGCCAAAGAAGCAGGGTCCAACGCCTTAAAACTTCTGGCAATCCTTGTGTCCATCTTATTTGAAGCCTTTTGTACAATAATGGGTGCGAAACGAACTGCAGATCAAAGGAATACAGATCTTCAGTTACAAGAAGATGACTGTAGTTGCTATTACACTCCTAGTTAAAAAATAGTTTCTTGCTGAGTCTGCACTTCGAAGTAGCGATTAACGTAATCGGAAACGAGCATGAATTAACCGCCGCCTGGTTAGCTCAGTTGAGAGAGCGCCGGACTGCTGAGCGGAAGGTCGCAGGTTCAAACCAGCAGGGTCTTTAAATCACTGACGAGAAAGTGCTGCCTTTGCAATGACATCTGCAAACGGTTAGACTTGCTAATCTTCTCGGATAAGGACGAAAAACCGTACGTCCCGTCTCAAAGCACTTCCACTTATCTGTTTTGTGGGACGTAAAAGAACCTACACCACAGCTCGAAAAGAGTAGGAGACGTAGACCCCGGTGGTGTGGCCAACCTCCCCGGGCTGGGTGTATTATCTGTAAAGACACATTGAAAATGGAGCCCCGATTTGCTGTGTGTCCAGCGCCATATATATGGTGGAAGTGATTAAATACAACTGAAAGCCTCTATTCTCCGTGAGTTCTTTGCTAATTGTGACAAAAATTACAAGGCTCTGCCCATGATAGCAAACTCTCAATATCATTTGCTGGAAAGCAATCCTTTGCAGAACAGATGCAATTTAAGTACTGATTATTGCTAGATGTAGCGAGATTAGACGTTTAGCTAAGACTTCGTTATCTTAGATAAAGCTTTTTTCCTCAATTTGTAAGCTCCGAAGAAAAAGTTAACACTGTCTATTATACAGCAACAAGGAAAAAAGGTCTGCACATGTTAAGTTAATTTGCATTTCTTCGCGTGGGTTATTCAATAAGAAGAAATTAAGGATGAAGCCAAGCTTGGCTTATGATTAGAAAATCTGTCCCAAACTTAATAGAAAGAACAGGAAATGATTTTTGCAGTTAAGTAGTTCCTTACCTTCTTTTGCGAGAATTTGATTGCATCATCGGTCATAGGACTCAGCAATGAAGCATAACGATCCGCTTCGTCAGGCTCATCACGAATAACCAGCTCCTCGTTGGCAGATATTTGATCGATTAATTGCACAGCAAAATCTTCAGTCTGGTCTGCAAGCTTGTTGAGTAATGTCGTGTTCTCCGTGTAACCCTCAGCAAGGCGCCGAAGTGCGCAGTTAACCTTCAACAACAAGTTATCAAGTCTACATTATCAAGTACTTAATTGTCCAACATCAACTTCTCTGACAGAAAACGAATACTCGATATAAGTCTTTGAAATAACTAGACGTCCTAAAGTGTGTGCGTTGCCTTGGTGGGTTAGGTTGGGGCTGTTAGATCTTCCAAGAATCGATAAACTTGGGCATAAGAAAGCAAACAACGACTTCTACTACCACTACCTATCAAATGCACAAAACCTTCTAATTTTCTCATACTGTTTTTCTCTATCAAACCCACCCTATCTAGAAAAATTCTTCGTTTTTGGAACCTCTCAGTCTCTAAAGGTCTTCTTTCACCACAACATCCTTCAAGGCAGAAAAGCATAAACGACAACGCTTTGTAGAAACTGCGTCTCAGGGCGCTTTCCAAAAGTCAAAACTACAAGACCGGACAAAGGCGGGCCGGTCATTTCTTGACAATGAAATAAGCTACTTTTTCAAGAGCTTTTGCTGAAAAACCATCTCGGGTAGGTTTGATAACTGGAAAGCGCATTTAGACTATTCCACACATGGCGCGACACTCTTTCAGCTTGGGGTGACGACGAATGACTCGGTAGATCAGGTGGAAGAAGACCTTGAAAGAGAGCGGTCAATAATTTTTCCACGTCTGTAGAGAGGTTTAGGCACAGAAGAAGGATTAACATGGAATTCCGGTATATTAAAAAGATGTCGAATATAGTCTTTTCCATACGTTTTGAAGAACATGATGACATAAGAATGACAATAGCTCTAAGCCGACCGAAAACGATAGATTTCTCATTCGTTATGTACCTGAAAAGCCATGTTTATGGGGTCTCGGCAGGAACACAAGTTCTCAGCAGTGACCATATTGATAATATCATCCACATTCCGCTGATTTTGCTGTGGGTCGTGTGATTCTTCTATAAGCTCCTTTAAATTAGTTTCCACCCCTAACAATGACAAAGAAAACTACATTGTAATTTGAACTTACAGACCTCAGTTTTTCGTCGGATTTAAAAATCGAGTGGATGAAAAAACCCTTCTGTATCTTTCCGAACGGTTATAAAGAGTATGATTATGAAAAAAAAAAGAGTAAAAATCTCTGGCGAAGTCTGAGTAGATTCTCCAGAGCAACAACGTGGCAGCTTATCTTCACTGGAAGATCTTCAAGAGCTACATGAATGAGCCTGCACATACCAATCCAAACCCACGGGCAATACATATCCAACAAGCCTGACATAGTTATCAGGGATATGAACGACAGTGGTGCTCATGGATTTGGCCATTCCAGTGGAAAGTAACACTGCGGTAGAAGTGGCTGAGAAACTATCCAAATACAAAGATCGGCAGGGATTGGGTACAAAGACAGAAACTCACCAGTGGTGATTGGAGCCCTAGGTCTTATAAATGCTAGAATAAAAACTGCGCAATATTAAACTGTGAAGTTCAGAAGATTGCTTTTCATGAAACAGCTCACATACTGCTGATAGTTTTCAGTAAACTGAACCCTACCCTCTGGACCCCGTCTATATGGAAAAGGTTGTCCCGGCAAAGAGGCGCACCCTCCCAGCCAAGTCAACGTAAGCCAGAATTTATGAGGAAAAATTTGAGCTCTCCGCCTGAGCCAACAGCGCTAGCACGCATGCTCTGATTCTCTGACCTTGACTGAGTTGACCCGGCTGGGCGAGCCAAAGTGTTTATATGAAGAAAAATTGGCCCAGCAAGGAAGTAGTGGACTATGGTCAAAATTAACACCGTTGGTGGGTTCCCCTTGAGTTCCGTGTGGGTTCCCTCGCAAAAAGTGGGTTCCCTTTATTAAAATGCATTTGTCTTCCTGCATACTAATTCGGTAGAGGTTTACTAATAAGCGTCACTCTACTTCAATAGGAACAATAGGCTTGCCTAGACTTGCCCGGTAAGTAACTTGAGCCCGGTTTTCGGACCGTCTATTAAAAGAAAAATAGGAATAGGAGAAGCGATCACCTAGCAACGCGAGAAACGGCTTCCTATACCTTATTTAGCGCTAAAACTCAGATATACATAGACAAAACACATGCAGAAAGTGGAGTTGAAAAGTCTTTATTTCAATCTAGTTTACGTCTTCTTATTTAGCGCTAAAACTAGGATATATATAAACAAAACATACACAAATTGGAGCTGAAAACTCTTTATTTCAAGTTTGTCTGACATTTTCTCCTTTCTATCTGGAGGAAATGAAAGTCTTGTCATTTTCACGCGCTGTTAATCAGTTAATTATGCGAGTTCACACGCCCAAAGTTGAATACAAATTAGCTCTACAGGAAAAACCTCAAGGGAGAGAATCTTGACGTATTATTATAAAACAAATAACTTAACAAGGATCAATTAAAGCACGCGACTCATAATTGCTAGCAATAAAAAGACAAGAGAGATACCGTTTTAAAAAACTTTATTAAAAAACAATGACAAAAAGAGTCAAATACACAGGAATGGAAATTAATTAATCTTCATCTTCGTTCTCCTCTGTAGAAGGGGAATAGAAATTGGTTTCCAACGTCTTCGCGTTTTTGTGTGTAAC